CCAGGCATTGCTCATCACCTGTCCATTACAGTCCCAACAGTGAAGCATGATGGTGGCAGCATCATGATGTGGGGGTGTATTTCAGCTGCAGGGACAGGACAACTGGTTGCAATAGAGGAAAAGATAAATGCGGCCATGTACGTGGATATCCTGGATAAAAACCTTAGGTGAGGATAAAGAACGAGCCTCCTGTGATATGCCTTTACTTTTGCTTTCTCTTTCGTGGAGTAAGGAAACAGTGTTGTACACTCCACTGAAGACATCCATTAGCCTACATAATTATTTTCATTTGTTAAGCACAAAGATTTGCTTCAAAAATATTTCTAAATTCACTTGTAAATTCCAGCAAACAAATAAATGAACAAAAATAACGAAGTGTGGTCAAAAAACTGAGTTATTTCCAAACACACATGCTGTGCCCCATATGGTCCAAAACCTGACAGGTGAACAAATCTAAGCTTGGTTTTAATAAAACAAATATAAATATGCATATAATGAATACTACTACTAATAATAATAACATTATACAAAAGCATGATGTCATGAATTAACTGAAAAAAGCCCCCCAAGATGAAAAAGGCATGAAGTGGTTTTTATATTTATGTAGAAAATAATATATATATATATATATATATATATATATATATATATATATATATATATATATATATATATATATATATATATATATATCCTTTCATCCTTTTAATTCTTTTTTATTTGTAAAGATATTTGCGTATTGCTGTACATCCTGTGTGTATTAAGTAATGTGTAAGCGAGGCCCACAACTAACGTGCTCTGCGCTGGACTTTAGACCTGCTTTCAGTCGGTTTATTGAGCAGTCTATTTTAGTTCCTCAAAATAGCAACGTGCCAACAATGCACCTTAACACACCTCTTTTCTACACCAGCACACCCATGAGTCCACAAAGTAAGCAAATATCAGCAGTTGGTACATCCTATTAGTATTGGGGATGTACAGATCCGATCATGTGATCTTAAATCGGGTTTCAGACTCAATCGGAAGTTACCTCTTGATCAGGACTCGAATATATCATTGTTTTTGAACATATCTATAGTTATGCGGTCGTTAAAGTTAGACCTCTTTCTTGACTTCACACAGAAACAGTAAAGGATGTGGCATGACATCAGTTTGTTGCGGAGACGCTACTGCTTAAATGCCGACAAAGTAACACAGAAGCAGCTTGAAGCAGAAAGTGCAAGTATGTCTGCAACAACATTGCCAAAACAAACTGTAAGATAAGTAAACTTGGGATTGCCTGCCGGGTATTTTAAGTTGAGATGCTGTTTGTTTTCATATTAGACTTTTTATATATATATATATATATTTACTGTTGCACTAAAGTTCAAAAGTGAAGAAATTATGTTATTTAATACGTGAGTGTTCAAGCTACCTCACAAAAGTGCTCTGTTTGTTAATAGAGTTGTTGAATGTTAAAATAAAGTGAATTAAATAAAAAATAAGGAACATCTTGGAAGTATCAAAATGGGTTTCAGTATCGGTAGGTACTCTAAATCAAATGATTTAGACTCGAGGGCAAAGAAAACATGATTGGGACATCCTTAATTAGTATCACCTTTGCTTGAGCGACACAACATAATCCTGGTACATAGGCCTGCTTCCGAGTAGGTCTGAGCTTACAGACCTGTTGCAATGACAACAAAAACAAAACTATCCAGAATTGTGTCAAACCATCAGTAATCAAATCCAGCTAACTGAGTATTCAACAGAAAGAACAGACCACACACAGTTTGTTTCTTTATCTTACTAAAATGACAATATTTTGTTATTGTGAGTGTTCACAAATAACAGTTGTCCCCATTGCGGTTTTGAATGCCTGACTCTTATCTCCATGACTGATTTATTAAAGCTTTTCAATTGCAAAGCTATTTTACTGATAACATTGAAAATGTGCTCATGTTTTCATGTTTGTGCAAGTCTGTTTGCACTAAATGTGGCCACGTTGGTATGCGAGAAGCGCTTTCTTGAGGAAACGCTGAACGCTACTTTTACATAAATAACATTTTGGAGGGAAAATATTTTAGTCAGGATTTAGTGTAGACTTTGTGTCCTACTGTTTGTTTGCTTATTTGGTTGCTTATCGTCTTTGTTGTTGTTGTCGTTCTTGTGGTCTATTGCAGTATTTTTTTCGGCTTAGTCCCTTTATTAATCAGCGGTCACCATTAGGGAATGAACCGCCGACTTATCCAGCATATTTTGTTCCCAGCAGATGCTCCTCCAGCTGCAACCCAACACTGGGAAACACTCATACACTCTTGCATTCACACACATACACTACAGACAATTTAGCTTATTCAATTCACCAATAGTGCATGCATTTGGACTGTGGGGGAGCACCCAGAGGAAACCCACACCAACACAAGGAGAACATGCAAACTCCACACAGAAACACAAACTGGCCCAGTCGAGGTTTGAATCAGTGACCTTCTTGCTGTGAGGCAAGTGCTACCCACTGCTTCACTGTGGCACCCTATAGACATTTAAAATAAAATAAATGATTTATGATATGGTTCTTAGGTCAAGACCTGCCTGGAACTGCTTTTAGATCTGCACTTCATGAAAAAAATCATAGCACACATTAGAAGGTTTATCAAGTAATCAGAATCATTCCCCTGCCTTGCAGTAAAGTATCAAATAATTTAGACTTCTCTCTCTTTCTTTTCTGTAAGCACTTCCAATGTAACTCATAGGGCACTTTTTTTGAAGAGTGTAATATATTTATAGCTTTTATTATTAAATGTGTGTAATATGTACATAATGAAAGTATAATCTAAGTTACTTTTGAAAAAGCAGCTTCTGCTGATGTGCAAACAACTTGCAGCCTCACTTGAAATTCCTGATTGCATGGATTCCAGAGGAAATGTTTAGGGAATATCGTGTTACATTGTCATGGCAGAGCAACATGGTGTCTCAGTGGCTAGCACTGTTGCCTCACAGCAAGAAGGATGCTGGTTTGAGTCCCGACAGGGTCAGTTGGCATTTCTTTGTGGAGTTTGCATGTTCTTCCCATGTTGGCGTGGGTTTCGTCTGGGTGCTCCGGTTTCCCCCACAGTCCAAACACATGCACTATAGGTGAATTAAATAAACTAAATTGGCTGTATGAGTGCGAGTGTGTGAATGAGTGTGTATGGGTGTTTCCCAGTTCTGGGTTGCAGCTGAAAGGTCATCCGCTGTGTAAAACATATGCTGGATAAGTTGGCAGTTCATTCCGCTGTGGCGACCCCAGATGAATAAAGGAACTAAGCTGAAGGAAAATAAATGAATGAATTGTCATAGCAACAGTGGTGATTTCCTTATTATTTACTCCCCTTCAAGTGGTTCCAAAGCTTTATGAGTTTCTTTCTTCTGTTGATCACAAAAGAAGATGTTATGGAGAAAGCTGAAAATCTGTAACCATTGACTTAAATAGAAGAAAAAACAAATATGGTTACCATTTTGCAACATTCTTCAAAATATCTTCTTTTGTGTTAACAGAGGAAAAAAACCTCAAATAGTTATGGACAAAGTAAATTACAGAATTGTCATTTTTGGATAAACTATCCCTTTAACATGGACTAACTATAAAACGACTTGATTAAGGTTAGTTTTGACAATTAATATGATAATTAATTTTGATAATTAATATGCACTGTGAACGAACATGAGCAAATAACAAAGTCTAATAAATGCTGTCATAGTCTATATATATATATATATATATATATATATATATATATATATATATATATATATATATATATATATATATATATACTAGGTATATTAGGTTAACTAGGCAAGTTAGGGTAAATAGGCAAGTTATTGTATAATGATGGTTTGTTCTTTAAAACTAAAAAATATTATCAGACATACTGTGAAGGTTTCTTTGCTCTGTTAAACATCATTTGGGAAATATTTAAAAAAAAAAAAAGAATATCTAAGGGAGGCCAATAATTCTGACTTCAACTGTATTTGAATATATATATATATACGTATATACGTATACGTATATAAGTACTATACTATATACTATATATAAGTCAGTACTGAAGCCAAATCTGGAACCTATCTAACAAAACAACCTATGATTACGCTCGAAAAACTAGCACACCCAAATGTATAATAATGTAATAAGTTTTTTTTTGCAATATTTTGCTTGATTTTACGTGTATTATCTTTCAATTTCTAAATATGTTTGTTAACTAAAAAAAATTATTGTAATAAATATATTTGTTTAATAAATCTGTTTTCTTTAAATTTTACCAAAATACATTGCCAAATTCACAAAAAAAAATTGGAGAAAAATATTCATTTTCAAAATGGGCTGTACTGAATTACGCTGAGCACTATATATATGTGTGTGTGTGTGTGTGTGTGTGTGTGTGTGTGTGTGTGTATGCATACAGTTGGAATAACATATTCCTCATTGTTATTTTTTCTCTTAATTAATGCATTATCTAATATTATCAACTTCTAATATACACTATCATTTTGTGGGAGTTAAAACACTGTTTTAACATTTACCAAGTGACCTCAATCATTTCCACAATAAGTGCCCACCTATGACCTAGATATTTGCATTTATAAACAAAAGAATCCTGGAAACAATTTTCCACTACAAATGCATTGTTAAATCAAATTAATCATGTATCACACATGTAATATGTCTTCAAGTAATGACCTTTAAACGGTTATGCACACACATACACACACTCAAGCACACAAACAGTGTCGACAGGCAACTGTCATGCTAAGGTTCCCATCACATTTGACATCACATAGTCTAAACACTTTAAAAGTAGGGTGTGGGGGACTTGGTCCACATTTAAAAGTGGTTATCCCAGCAATTCTAAAACATGTGCCTTGGGTGGACTGGGTTACTAGTGTTGGCTGGCAGGGAAGACGCTATTTATGTATCCCTAAACACTCGCAAACACACACACACACACACACACACACACACTCTTGCAAGTAGAGACCTCAGCTGATGCCAGTGATGTCACTTCCATTAGGTTTTCGGCTCTGAAGGCAAAGACAGCAGTGGCCAGGACTAAAAAAAAGAGGGAAAGACATCCAAGAAACTGGGTATATGCATAAGACTGACTGGCCATTATTATTTAAGATAAACTAAGATCAAATGAGACAAGCATAAAAGGTCACGTTTTCAAAATGAAGGTAAATTAAAAAGAGATTCAAGTGTGTTGAGAACAGCGATTAAAGGGATTGCTCACCTAAAAGTGAAAATTTATTCACCATTTACTGTTCATCAAGTGGTCCCAAACCTTTATGGTTTTTTTTCTCTGTTAAAAACAAAAGAAGATTTTTTGAAGAAAGTAAAACCTATAACTATTGACTTCCATAGTATTTGTTTTCCCTACTATGGAAGTCGATGGTTACAGGTTTCTAGCGTTCTTCAAAATATCTTCTTTTGTGCTCAACAGAAGAAAGAAACTTATAAAGGTTTGAAACAAGAGAAGGGAGAGTAAATGATAACATAATTTTCATTTTTGGTTGAACTATCCCTTTAAACTATGTATCCATTGAGAAACAAACAGTGGTTATACTGTAACTAAAACAGAGAAATGGCTGCAAATTATATGTTTCATGTTCACAATAGCTAACAAAAGGTCACATATTATGGAAATGTCAACCTACCGGCTACAATCTCCAAGGAATTGTATCCTAAGATACGATCCCATAACAACAGGAGCTGGTCAGTGGACAGGTATCCTGAGAAGGCTCTGACTATCCATTTGAAAGCAATACGTAACCTAACACACAGAAAGAAACAGACATGGTGAGAAACACTCACCAAAACATACACAAATTAGATGTAAACCCTTAATAATAAATAATTATTACTTGCTGCTAATTACTCGTGTAGAACTGTATGTGCATAGTTCAGCCGCTAGATGACGCTGCAGTGCTATAATATCATAACCATTCTTAAAGGGATAGTTCACCCAAAAATGAAAATTCTGTCATCATTTACTCAGCCTTTACGTGTTTTAAACCTGTATGAGTTTCTTTCTTCTGTTGAACATGAAAGAATATATTTTAAAGAAAGCTGTAACAATTTACTTCCATAGTAGGGAAAAACAAAAACTTTGGAAGTCAATGGTTAAAGCTTTCTTCAAAATATCTTTGTGTTCAACATAAGAAACTCATAAAGATTTGAAATAACTTGAGGGTGACAGGGTTTTATCAAGTCAAATTTAAGACTTTTAAGACCATAATGAATGAAATTTCAGATTTATACAAGGCTAAACGCTAATTATTATTATATTTTTTTTAAAGTAAAACCCTTAAAAAAACATTCAAAACAAATGTTATTGTAAAGAAGATAATTAAACCTTATTAATAAGTATATATAGTTAATAAATAAATGTTTCTTAAAACTTCTATTGAAATATATTGTTAGTGATTGGTTAGGTGCTGGTCAAATGTGGTATAGCTTTACGTGAACATATAGGAAATTTAAGAACAATTTAAAATGATTTACAGGTTCAAAAAAACCTTGAAGTACTTATTTTGAGATTTTATCAGATTTGTGTGTGTTGAGCAACATTTAAGACAATGTTAGCACCTGTTAGCTTTAATTGTGGGGGAAACTGGATAATTTGGAGCTTTTGTCAGCTTATTTCATCTTCTGGTTTTAAAATAATTTTTGGGGCGAGATCAAAATCGGTGGTGTATCGTGAATCTGCTAGTGGAGTGATGACGTGAAGACCCTGCTTCTTAATTATTCATTAGAGCATGTGCTTTCCGAAGGCAAAGCAGACCTGCCAAGCTGTGAGAACCAATGGCTGCGTTTCCACTATCGCGCCTAAAGACAGCAAGCCAAGGCCAGTCGTGTTTTCACTGCCACTTCTAGGGCCTGATCGGGCCAAAGCAGGGTTTTCTTGGGGCCAGCGGCTGGCCTTTTTTGGCCCGCCGAATACCTTGGGCCAAAAAAGGCCAGCTGGGGCTTCGGGGCAGAGTAAAAGGAGAGGCGGACTTAGTCTGAGTCTGGTAAAGATGGCATGCCGTCATTACACTAGTATCCCGATCGCACACGAGTACATGCTGCAAACAAATAAATAAATAAGGGAAAGAATAACTATAGCCTTATAGGCTTGGAGTCATTTTGCCAATGATCGTCCTTATGTTTTCCTTTTAAATGTAAGGTTGTTGCATAAAATAATAAAGTTATAATTTATAAGTGACTTTTCTTTGCTGCGTCCTCCTTGATGTTTCAAAAACGCATAATAATCTTTACACCATATTAAAGTCACAGCAGACAGTAAAGGTTGTCGAGAGTTTTGTCAAGTTTAAAAGGTGTGTTTATGCGTCATGCATGCGCGTTTAGATGGCTGTGTGTGAATGTGAGACCGGGCAAAAGAGCGCTCGCTTCACAGCTCTGTTGATGCCAGGACCGGCTTTTTCTGTTTTTTTATTTATTTTTTATTTATAAATTATGAATACAACAGAAAGGCATTAAACTTTACAAATTACATGTCCACTTTTGTAGACTCATATCTTGATATATTGAAATAGTTGTAAGAATTACAAAAGCGGATATAATAAAATCACATTAAATAAGTAAACCAATATAAAAAAAAACAAAAGCTAGCTATAACAACGTAGGTATATACAATACATAAACCAAACCGTTTTAAAGCTATAAGCTATTAAACTTTCATTTTACAAAGCCTTTACAAAAAAAGGTTTTAGAAATTTTCTAAAAACAATAAACACAGGAGAACGTTTGAAATATTATTTATAAAGTATTTGGATATGGTGATATTAATCAAATGGTGCAAACAGAGCATTTTTTGGGTGAATGAAAGCAGAAACTAGGCGACCTTTTTTCTGTCAGTCCTGGCAGTGCCACTTTACAAACTCATTGGGGAAAACAGAAAATACAAAATGTATTCTGTGTCCTCAAACAAGTGTTTATGTTTTTAAATGATGTGGTAAAATAAAAAAAATGAAATTTTAAATACATGAATAGCTTTATTAATGGATAGCTGCTGAGCTCAACGAAATATAGGCTATATTTTATTCCTTGCTTTTATGTGCTGAAATACTTAACACATTCCCTTACTTAAGATCACCCAATAACATACAACATCCTTAAATATAGGGCAAAAATATATTAAATGTCATATAGCCTAGCGAAAAATTTATGTTTTATGTCTCTCCGGAGCATTTGGGCTAAATGTTTGAAGACGTCTATCAAAATGAGGATGTTATAAAATACATTTCATATCGAGTTATTGTCGAAGAATTTCTGTGGTTTTATGCTGCTAATGACTGGGTGTGACCGTGTCCACAGACTCTGCATACGGCCCACAGTATTTAGCTGTTCATGAAGGGTCCTATGTGCTTGTTTCCATGACCCATGGGTTTGTTGCATGTTTTTCTTCGCGATGCTGTCCGGGCCGATACAGCAAAGCTAGTAGTGTAATATAATAATTATATATGTTTTTATATTAGACACACATCTGATGTTTCTATTTGCACAATTTTTCCATGCCCACAACTTAAAGCATTGTGTTAAATTAGGCTTTGCAGTCTCCGTGTTTAGTCCTTTTCTTCCACTGTATCTGTTCAGCCGAGTTAACCGAACCATCTCCATGACGTCAGACACAAAATGGCGGCGCCCTAGGTCTAAAATCAACAGTAAAACATGCCGTTTTCTTCTAAATGGTTACATTAATCAAGTTTGCTTGATATATTAAACTATAAAATCATGGGTCTCCTTAGTTTATGTCTCATTTTGTGAACCAACTGACAACTACTTTCACCCATGCTCTGCTGGCCACGCCCACTCCTGCTTCTGCTCGCAGTGCTCCATGCTCATTTTGATGTATTTTTTTTTTATCTGAGGCAGACCAAAAGAGGGGAATTGCATGGCCCTTTAAGACATACAACACAATATTTCCTGTGAATTTAAGACCTTTTAAGGCCAAAAAAGTTTTTTTCAAGACCCTGCAGTAAATTGTCAGTTTTGGGGAAACGATCTCTTTAAAAGTATAGTTTGAGTGTCTTTTTGTTTAACAAAAAGTAAGTTATTTTGAAAAATGTTGGAAAGCTGAACATTGTATTTGTTTTTGCTGCAATGGTGTTCAATGGTTACTGGTTTCTAACATTTTTCAAAATATCTTCTTTAGTGCTCAACAGAAAAAGAACACAAAGGTTTGTAACCACTTGAGAGTGAGTAAATGGTGAGCCAATTTTTCATTTTTTGGTGAATTATCTCTTTAACATCAGCTGTAATTTAAGATAACAAAAGTTTTGAATGAAAGAATATTTAAGCATACAAAAAGGATAAATTATGATTCAAGTATCAACAAGAATTTAACATATTTAGGAGTTGCTTAGAAGTTAGAGGCATTTAGCTGGAATCTCAAGTAACATAAGTGTTGTATGATTATAGCCAATAAACAATCCGATAAAGCACATTCAACCTTTAGCTTGCATGTTTTTGCCCAATTTCTTTGGACAAATTGCCTGGAGGGCTGGTGTCTGAGTTTAGCTCCAACCCTAATCAAATACACCTGAATCAGCTAATCAAGCTCTTATTAGATTCACTAGAAACTTCATGCAGGTGTGTTGAAGCAAGTTGGAGCTAAACTTATTAGAACACTGGCTCTTTTGGGACCAAGTTTGGACACCCCTGATTTAGGGCAAAGACTATTAGAGACTATTAAGCAGGTGTGAGTTGTAGCTGGTTGGAGCTAAACTATACAGAGTTGCGACCCTCCAGGAATTGAGTTTGAGACCATTGATTTAGGGTTTCTGGAGAGCCACAGCATTGCACAGTTTAGTTCCAACCCTGCTTCAAACTCTGACACCTGTGACTTAGAGGAAAGTTTGAGTTATGATCTCTGTTAAAGGGTTAATACAACACAATAATAACAGAATAAATGTCACATGCTTGTTCACATTTCCAATTTCTATAGTGTTGCGGGTGATTTTCAACCCATTGCTAAGGAGTTGCTTATGGTTACTGAGTAGAATTAGCTTATTATTAATGGGACTGATGTGGTATGCTTCTAGATAATAAAAAAAACCTCAGAACAACAATCAAGGCATTTAAGAAAGCTTGAAAACAGTGCTTACTGATTTACTGAATACATCAATACATAACTCCCTTTGGCATTTACTGTCTGTTTTGCAACATGATATGCAGATCTTTTTCATACTCAAACAGCATTAAATGGAAGTGTATGAAGCAAAAAATGTCTTTTAATACAGTTGAAGGCAAAGTTAATAGGCCTTCTGTGAAATTTGTATTATTTTTTAAATGTTTCAAAGATTTTTTCAACACATTTGTTAACATATAGTTTTAATAGCTTATTTATTTTGTCTTTGCCATGATGACAATACATAATATTCTACAATATATCGAAGTAGTATTTATCTTAAACTGCCATTTAAAGGCTTAACTTAGGTTGAAGGCTTAAATGGGTAACCAAGCAGATTAGGTTAATTATGTCATTGGACTACAGTTGTTTATTATGTAGCCAATCAAAAATAATAATTGCTTTAGGGGTTAATATAATAGACCTTACTTTATAAAAAAATAAAAATAAATAAATCTGCTTTCATTCCAACAAAAATAGAACATCAAATATGAAAATGCTGTGAAAAATGTCCTTGCTCTGTTAAACAACACTTTTAAAATACTTCACAGGAGGGCTAAAAACTTTGCCTTCAACTGTATATCATAAAAGATGTGCTTAAAAATACAAATTATTAATTTAATTAATAGTGTAATCTGCAATGTCAACTTACGGCTGGGCTCCGATCTCTCGTAGATGGTAGAAAAGCTGAGGAAGATGAGCCTGTAGTAACCTCTCAAACTGCAAGCATAGAGACACTATACCCTAACAAACACAAACACAGGGTTGATGAGTTTTCTCTCATCAAATCTCTAAGCCAACTGACACAACGACAATCAATCATGTTTCATCGCACACAGATACTTACAGATGGATGTGAGGAGATGGAGTGTAGTCTGAAGAAGTAGCGAATATACATCTCCCTAAACACACTGTACAGCTTAGATGGCTCGTTATATAAAAAACACAGAGGAGCCACTGCAGCACAGAATGACAAGACAAATGCATGTTTATTTAGAAAGCATATTGATATATTTGATGGCATGCATTTCTTTATACCTACCATACATTGAGAAGCCATGGAATGGGATGACACCTATAAGACAGAAAACTGTTTAGAATTTATTTTGAATTTATTTATTAGGATTAACCCCACTGAAATTTACCATCTTGTTTTCACAGTGTATCACAAAACAAAACAAAACCCAAAATAAAATCAAATCAAATCAAAACAAATCAACACAAAACAAAAATCGAAACATCACAGAACAATATAACAAATCAAATCAATTCAAAACAAAATCAAAACACAAATGAAAACTTCTCAATTTATTGTTACAGCTGTTGTTATTTTTATTATTATCATTATTATTAGTATTATTCCCAGCATGAGTATATTATAGTTATCAAATTACAGTAATAATCTATCATACATATCTTTAATATTATTCTTCCATGTGGAATTGTATAATTAATAATTAGCATTGATATCGTGTTTTCTTTTTTATTTATTCAGTTTTTATTATTATTATTCTTTTTCCTTTTCTTTTTTTTTTTTTGGCTTATTCTCGTTGCTTTGTTTGCTGAACTTTATTTTTTTTCTTCTCTCTTATTGTTTCTTTTTTTTTTCTTCTACTCCTCCCCTTTTCTGTTTTTATTTTATTTTTATTATAAGTATTTTATTAATTTTTGTTTATTATCATTAGTTTATTTTCTCTTTTCCTCTATCTCCCCTTCAAACTTACTACTTACTACTATTATTATTTGTTATTATTATTATTATTATTATTTATTATTATTACTTGTCCTCTCCCTGATTTCCCATCCTCCCCTCTCCTCGACACCTTTGTCATAAATGGTATTACTTTTATTTTTTGAAATCATTATTATTATTATTATTACTGTTCTGACTTGTCCTGTTATCTTTCCATTATCATTATTACAAGTATTTATACCATTATCATTATTAAGGTTGCAGTTGTTGTAGTTGTAGCGGTAGTAGTTGTAGTAGTAGTAGTAGTAGTTGTAGTTGAAGTAGTAGACAGTGTAATAGTATCGATTGTTATTGAGTAATTGTTACGGAGATTTTTGAAGTAGTAGTTCATGTAAGTAGTAGCAGAAGTAGTAATGGTGTGGTAGTTACAGTAGTAGTAGTAGTCGTTGTTGGTGTAGTAATATCAGTAGTAGATGTTGTTGATGTAGATGTAGTAGAAGTGATTGTAGTAGTAGTAGTAGTGGTAATAGTAGTAGTAGTAGTAGTAGCATTAGACGTTGTTGTATTAGTTGTAGCAAACACTATAGTAGTATCAGTAGTGGTAGTCGTTGTAGTAGTATCAGTATTAGTAGACATTGTAGTAGTAGTAGTAGTAGTAGTGGTTGTGGCTGTAGTAGAAGCAGTAGTAGTTGTAATATAAGTAATTTTTTGTAGTAGTAGTTTGTGTAGCACTTGTGATTTATTATTATTGTTGTCAGTTATTACTGTTGTCCTTTCTTTCTTTTTACTCTAATTTTTACTATCATACATTAATAAGCATTGTTGTTACTCCCTACCTCTGACTGGTTTCTTTCTATATGTTTTATCGATATCTGTGACACTTGCTTCATTTATTGACTGTTATTGTTCCTTATGTATGTACTCTGACCTGTCCACCAAGTTACCTTTACATGCATACACACACTCACACACACACACACACACACTCACGCACATACCAGTACATGACTATATTGTTGTTGTTTTTGTTTTGTTTTTGTTTCGTTGCTTTGTATTTGTTATTTGTTGACGTTTTCTTGTATTTGTATGATTTTTTGCATATTCTAATAAAAAAAAAAAAAAAAAAAAACACAAATGAAAACAAAACAAATCAACACAAAAAATGAAAACAAATGAAAATAACACAAATTACAAAAAGCAACACAAATTAATTCAAAACATCACAACACAAAATCAAAACAATGCAAAACAAAACAACAAATCAGATCAATTCAAAACAAAAACAAAAAAAACACAAAACAAAATAAATAAAGATCAAAAACAAATCAAAAATCAACCCAAGACAAAAATCAACATAAAACAATATTAAAACAAAAACAAAACTATAATTAACACAACAAAATCGAAACAAAAAACAAAACAAAACACAATAAAAAAGAAAACAAATCAACACAAAACTAAATTAAAACAACACAAAGAAAAAACAACAAATCAAAACAAAAATCAACACAAAACTAAATCAAAACAAAAAAAATTTTATGGAAAATTTATGGAAAACTCCACAGCGATTGAACCTTGCTACGGCGTGAGCACACCAACATCACCAGAGTCGCAGCCCTCCGACTTGCCCCCTGGCCCTAACTTACCTTACTTACCTGAGAAGCTTTACAGGCTTAGATATATTTTTTGAGGAAACGTAAATATATACTAAGTTAATTCTAGAAATTTAAGATACAACAGTACATTAGGAAAGTGTGCAGTCCCGATAGAGAGCAAGCTGCAGAGGCCTACCTGCTGCCCAGAAAGGGAAGACCGGTGGCAAGCAGACTTATGGACTAACCCTGAGAAGGGCAAGAACACATATGAAGGATGGTTAGCGGGGAAGGAAGACACGGGCCCCCCTAAGACGGGGGGGACTATACCGTGGCTGGGACACAGCAAGGAAAGGGGCTGGGTGTGCCTCCTCTGTGGGCAGCACTTGCAGGTTCACTACGTAGTCTAAAAAAAAATACGCACTGTAGGAACCAAGGACACCTAGAGAGAGTAGGTCGGCCTGAATTGCTGGCACACTTCGCTGACTGAAAATGCCTCCAGATACCTGCCACTTTTGACTGATGTTAACATGACCAGCAGTGCTATCTACCTGGACAGAAATCTTAAATATAATGTGTCAAACTGATCGAGCAGACCTCTCCTAAGAAAGATCTCAAAGTGGGTATGAGAGAGGGACAGGATAGATAATTATCTATGTCTCACGCCTCTGGGAACTGGATGATGAGACGATACTTTCCGAACGCGCTACCATCCCCATGTCCTTAGAGCAGGAATGATTGAAACGCCAACCTTTCAGTGTGGATTGGACAGCCTTAGCTCCTGAGGGAGGATAGCATTGCACTGATCTGGCATGTCCGGGGTGCTTCTCGGAGAGAAGTACACCACACAGCAAATAGACTCTACTTTAGGGTGTAGGCATGCCTCATAGAGGGTGCTCTCTAGCCTGAGTGACGGTGTTAACCACCGAACCGGTAGATCACCTAAGTCCACCGCACATGTGAGGTTCCAGAGATCAGGGCGTGGGTGCCAAATGGTGCCTGTCCCAGAGAAAAAGGTGCTTCTTTAAGGGGATATGCCAGGGAGGGGCCGTCACAAGGAGAAAGCTGAAATACAGTTCCGATTGAGCCAGAGAGGCACAATAAACAGACCTGGTCCTCGCCTGCTCCCTGACTTTACACAGTTTCTGTACAAGTAGGCTCACTGGAGAAAAATGCGTATTTACGCACGCCCTGGGGTCGACTGTGTTAGCCAGTGCACCAGAATGCAACCACAACAGCTGGACAGCCGGTAGTGGAGTCTCCATTTTCTCAGGCGAAACTGCCATAAGAGTTCATCAGCTGCACAGTTGAGCTCGTCGGGGAAGAATGGGACACATTGATTATGACTCCGGAGGAGCAGACGGCAAGCGAGCTGAGACATGCAGCGAGAGCGGATAACCCCCATGCGGTTCATATACGTCATTGTCACCATGCTGTCTGTCCTGACCAGCACGTGTTTCCCCTCTAGCACCGGCGCAGCCAAGACACACTGCCAACAGCTCCAGGCAATTAAAATACCAATGCAACCAGGTTCCTTCCATAGACCCACAGCTGCATGCCTGCAACACACGGCCCCCCAGCCTGGACATTTGCTCTAGAGGCACACAGGTCTGTAGAAATACAGAGTCCATCCAGAGGCTAAGGGGACGTGCAGCAGAGTGCAGTCACCCGGGGCTTGTCCACGTGCCATGCGCATCTGGGGACCTGATAGTGAAGCCGATGCTGAATCCGTCGCCTATGGAGCAACAGGAGCAGCGTGACAGCTGCTGCGGATACCATATGCCCCAGGACCCTCTGAAATAATATCAAAGGTACCACAGTTTTCCTGTCAAACTCTTTCAGACTGATCAGCATCAGCTCTGCCAAGGCGCACCATCATGATGATCAAGTCCAGCTTCAACCCGAGGAAAGAGATGCTCTGCATGGGGGTGAGCCTTCTCTTTTCTTGATTAACCCGAAACCCTAACAGGTCGAGGTGTCGGAGCACCCTATCCTGGTGCACAATCAAATATAAAAAGCCAGTCATCGAGATAATTGAGTATGCGGATACCCATGAGCGGAAGAGGCATTAGGGCATCCTCTGCAAGCTTGCTGAAAATGTGTGGGGACAGGAAGTGACCGGAAGGGAGGACTTTGTACTACCATGCTCAATCCTTGCACGCAACCGCAGAAAAATGGAGACATGAACATACGTGTCCTTCAGGTCTATCGCTGCAGAATAATCCTGAAGAAGAATGCCCCGGGGATGCTTATGAATGAGCAATCTGAGTGGCTGCTGTAAGGCAGTGGGTCAAAACACGCAGAACTAAAATTGGTCATAACCCACCACTCTTTTAGGGTACAATGAAGCACAGACAAACAAGCCCATACCTCATCTCGGCTGGAGGGACTGGCTCGATTGCGCCCTTCGCCAGGAGGACAGCAATCTCCGTGTGCAAGACAGGGGTGGACACAGGGCAGACCCTGGTGTAATACACATCCGAGAACTTGGAGGGAGCCCCAGGCTTGAGGATTGTATGAGCTTAGGGCTCTCTACCGTGACAGCATGCCAAACAAGCTTTATAATCAATCATCAGCTAAGTGTGAACTCTTAAAAGTGTATCATGCTACTGCTAAACTAATAAATCATCTAATAAACACAATGGCACCAGTTTCAACAGATTTGAGTGAATTTAACAAATGAAGACCACAGAGTGCATGCTGAGACTTGCTGACATGAAAATGTTGTAAAAGCTGCTTTCTCACCATTTGGCGGGTAAACCACAGCACACTGCTCGGAGCCAGACTTGCCTGAGAAAAAGACAAGTTCTTAGACAAGAAACAAAAGAAGAGATTGCAACAAAGATAAACATTTTAAAATGTTACTTTGGATGCAAGATTTCGGTGGCGATGCACTGTTGTAGTTGAAATGCTCCAGCACTGCAGTGTCTCGAGAAAAACAAAGTAAGACCTATTGGGGAAAATATTGGCAAAATATTGGCAAAACACACAGACAAAGATTATTATTGCTAAATACACGTCATATCTTTGGTAAATTGCTTATTTTCCTGGAACAATTACACTTGAAGAGCCACTTTGAAGCTTCAGGCTGTTGAGGTCATTTTTTTTTTCTTTTATTATACATTTTTCTCCTTAAATGTAATTCACTTCAAAACTGATATCTTTAAAAACCTGCTTTCTATAATTAATATTAACTTGGTTTGCTTCATTTGTTTTAAAGGGGTCATTTTATATAAATCTGGATATACCTAGGCATGGCAGAATAATAAGAGTTCAGTACATGGAATTAGCATAACATGAGCCTCAAACCCCATTGTTTCCTCAATCTCATGGAAAATTACACTGAGACTCTTACATTGTATGTGGGATTAATAATTTGCAGGCCAATATAGGTGCATTTCAGTGACCACAATATTTAGAATTGAGATTACAACAATGATACAATTTTCCCTTATTTTTAAGTTTATCTAGGCTTATAAACTGTAAAAAAAAAAAAAAAAAAAAAAATATATATATATATATATATATATATATATATATATATATATATATATATATAATAAAAAGTCATGACAACTTATGTTTTTACATTACTTTAACAACTTATTTTTAAGTTTAAACAAATTTTAACAATGTTTAAAGTGAGCTTAATTGATTTAATGTCAGTTTAAATGTACGTTTTGTTAGTTTAATGTGTATATTGTGAAATTTTCTGTGTATGCAAAACACATGTAGACTGCTGAGTATAAGTGTTTAGTGCACCTACAGTACACTCACTCAGTAGTATACCTGATGGTGTGCTCACACTGCCAATTTTCTTTGTTAAATTCAGCTATTGCTACATTGAAGCCTATTGTATAAGCAATTATTTCACAAAATTGACCTGTAGTCATCATATTTAAAATTCCCGGTGACTGAAATTCTTGAACTTCCCACAGAGTTCACACTAAACCAATATTTACAAGCAGCCAGGCCTTTTTATCATCTCACACCTCCAGCTCGCAGCACTGTTCCATAGTGATGACACAATGTGCTCTAGTAAAGCTCAAAACATTGGCCATTTCTGCTGCAGATTTCAGATAAAATTAAAAATTATTAAATAAATAATTAAATAAAGTATTAAATATTAATTTCAATATTAAATGAAAAATTGACCCAGGAATGCAAAGAGAAGAATTCATGGTTTTCCATACGTCACCAGCAAATAAAACAGCAAAGTGAAATCTCTCTTAAAATGCTTCCCTCTCAGATGATTGCAGATGATTTCCTAACCATTTAAGGCTAGGAGAGAGTAAGTGTCTTCTTCCCTGATGTCATCTTAAAATGGGCTCATATATACCATTTCATGGGAGAAAAAAAAATGAACCCGCAAATTAAACTGCAGTAGGATTTTTTTGGTGAAAATGAACATCAAGCAGCGGAAATTTTATAATCCTCCAATAACATGAAATGACTCATGAATTCCCCCTATCTGTGAGATGGAAACAAAATCCAGTCCTATTTGTGTGTATCCAGTTTTAGGTACAAGAAGCCAAAGCCTGGTTTTGCATGGGTCATGATAGTTTAGTCTGTGTGCAAAGATCTATCTAAGCCATGTCCAAAATAACTTGGGAAACTGCTCTCCTTTTATGACAATGAAATCACTTTTAGGACTGTAATCAGCTGACTGAATTGAAGCATAGACGTTTACAGAGTAAATGACATGCGTTCACCCACCTGATATAAGTAATCCTCAAACACAAAGTAGTAATCGTCATTACTTGCGGTAAGTTTTACGTCCTAATGAAGGAAAAAAAAAACATTTTAATTAGAAACACATGCAGTAAAGTTACTAAAATAGGACTTTGCAAGCTTTGAAATATATAATACCACTGCAAACAAAATACTGTGAGAATTTTTTATCAGTTAAGCATATAAAAAAGCTTGATATTTATCTATTCAAATTTTATGTGGGTAAAAAGACACGTTTTCAAATGTCGTAGCACAAAACTTTAAACCAGGGGTGGCCCAACTTTTTCTTTTGAAGGGCCAAGAACCAAACTTGATTGAGGCCAGTGGGCTGAAGGTAAATATAGTTGCCATGGTTAATTTCCCATTTCATTTAATAATATTTAAAAATGCCTAGAAAACATTGCTTTAAATGAACTAATACAGTGTTTTTTTTCTAATTACAATTAAAAACAAAAAAAAAACTATCTCATTAATAACAGAATTACACTAATTTTGGCCTTGATTTTCTCACTGATGTCTTCTGCATAATCCTATATCTGTTAAGTCACATTATTTTTTAAATCAGATTTATTTACAACATTTCATTTACTTCAGTTTGCTTTTTTTGTAGCTCAGCAGTAAAACAAACAAACAAACAAAAAAAGGTTTTGTCAGATCAAATATTACGATCTCTTTTGAAGACATTCGCCCCAACCCTCTCCATCCTTCTCACTCTGAGATGGAATGGTGGGCCAAATCAAAGAGCCAACTTTGGCCAGCAGGCCCTACTTTTTGCATCTCTGCTTTCAACTGATCACTTTTTAAAACCAATAGTCATTCTTTCAAACCTGATATCATGATTTCATTGTAGTTCATTCCACCATTTAATTCCATTTTAAACAAAACACATCAAGTAATTGGTATTTCCTGACTTAAAGCTCTTGCAGTCATTTGTAACGTACAAATTATCAGACGTTGAATAAGCTGAAAATGCTTATGGACATAATAAATCAGTGGTCTCAAACTGGATTCCTGGAGGGCCACAACTCTGCATAGTTTAACTCCAACCACCTCCAACTCACGCCTGCTTAGTCACTAGTACTAAGGTGTGGTACAAAGTGATAAGGTGTGTTTGATTAGGGTTGGAGCAAAACCGTGCAGAGCTGCGGCCCTCCAGGAACCCAGTTTGAGACCTGTGTTTTAAATGATTCATTGATCAAACATTAAAATCCGTTGAATTAAATGATAGACAATGCATTAAACTCAAAGATAAAAGATTTAAATCAAATGTTTGATACTAACAGCTTTTTGAAAGCAGTTACTGTGAATGAAACATTTCTATAGATGTACCCTATTTTGTGTAGTGAACATTCTAATTTGTGATTCTGTGTATTGTACGAACACAAAAAAAGTCAGTTTTTGATGACTTGTTGTGATATAAGCAGAATCAGAATGAGCTTTATTTGCCAAGTGTGCAAACACACAAGGATTTTTTTTGTGTGTGTGTTTTTTTTCCAGGATCCACATGCATACATACACAATTTACGTGCATTGTGTACATTATATGTACATTGATGACTTTTTAACTGTACAAATAAAAATTACAAATATTTATATAAATGTACTTACAATTAATTGGCTTTATTGGTTACAAAAACCATAAAGAGTAAAGGGTCCTTTTTGTTTATGACTATACGAAGTAGCATCTGAGTACTCTACCTGACAAAAGTCTTGTGGCGGATCCCAGTTGTAAGAGCAACAAATAATAATTTGACTTTTAGTTGACCATTTGGAAAATTAAATAAAAAGTGATGAATTATCTGTTGAACTGCATTCCAATCATCACAAATACTGCAGAAGACCTACTGGATCTCGCATGGAGCCAAGATTCTCACAGAAATCAATCAAGTTTGGTGAAGGAGAAATCATGCTTTGGGGTTACATTCAGTATGGGGCCTGCGAGAGATCTGCAGAGTGGATGGCAACATCAACAGCCTGAGGAATCAAGACATTTGTGCTGCCCATTACATTACAAAACACAGGAAAGGGCAAATTCTTCAGCAGAATAGCGCTCCTTCTCATACTTCAGCCTCAACATCAAAGTTCCTAAAAGCAAACAAGGTCAAAGTGCCCCAGGATTGGCCAGCCCAGTCACCAGACATGAACATTTTTGAGCATGTTTGGGGTAAGATGAAGGAGGAGGCCCTGAAGATGAATACAAATAATCTTGATGAACTGGGAGTCCTGCAAGAATTCTTTCTTTGCCATTCCAGATGACTTTATTAATAAATGATTTGAATCATTGCAGAGATGTATGGATGCAGTCCTCCGAGTCCAAGCTCATAAGAGTCAGACACAATATTCATTCTGTTTCCACTGCACCATGACTTCATATTCTATACTGGACATTATTTCTGCTCAGTTACAAGACTTTTGTCTAAGCAAAGTCAGACTTTACAGTCCTAATGAAATCATTAAAAATCAAGCGTAATCTAGAGGCCTTTTCCTTTCATATAAGCTACTTTATATAATATATTATATTATATTTCATATTAGATACTAAATGATCAACTAGAATTCAAGTTATTATTTGATTATTTGTTGTTCTTATATAACTTATATAAGCAACAAGACTTTTGTCAGGTAGTGTATTAGGAGTTTTGAAAAATCACCTATTGCTTGTGAAAATTGTCCCAAACCAATTTAAAAAAATTTGTTTTTTCAATGTAGCAATAGACTTTGCAAGCTTTGAAATATATAATACCACTGCAAACAAAATACTGTGAGAATTTTTTATCAGTTAAGCATATAAAAAAGCTTGATATTTATGTATTCATATTTTATGTGGGTAAAAAGTTTTCAAATGTCGTAGCACAAAACTTTAAACCAGGGGTGGCCCAACTTTTTCTTTTGAAGGGCCTAGAACAAAACTTGATTGAGGCCAGTGGGCTGAAGGTAAATATAGTTGCCATGGTTAATTTCCCATTTCATTTAATAACATTTAAAAATGCCTCGAAAACATTGCTTTAAATGAACTAATACAGTGTTTTTTTTCTAATTACAATTAAAAACAAAAAAACAATCTCATTAATAACAGAATTACACTAATTTTGGCCTTGATTTTCTCACTGATGTCTTCTGCATAATCCTATATCTGTTGAGTCACATTATTTTTTAAATCAGATTTATTTACATTTCATTCACTTCAGTTTGCTTTTTTGTAGCTCAGCAGTAAAACAAACTAACAAACAAAAAAAGGTTTTGTCAAATAAAAAATTACGATCTTTTTTGAAGACATTCGCCCCAACCCTCTCCATCCTTCTAACTCTGAGATGGAATGGTGGGCCTTTTTCAAAAGAAAAAGTGAAAATTGTCCCAAACCAATTTAAAAAAAAACCTGAAAAGACCCGTCTTTGAGAAAGATTCTCAAAAATCTCCAAACTTATTTAAGAACATTTTTCAGAGAACAAATGAAGCATACAAAGAAAATGCACAGTAAATGTACCTTATATATTAGGTTGTCCACCAGCAGGTTATGGTGTATAACTCTGGCTTTGAGCTGTTCATAATGTGTTATGTCCTGTTTAATGAAATAAAAACAAAAGAATTGACAAGGAGTTCATTCGTCTCAGTCAGCTGAATTTAATTAGCCAATACATAATGGATAAAGAAGCACCTAAGCACAGATCCTGCCACCCCACTCATTATAACTAAGCTAATTATACGAACCAATTAACTTATTAAACTGCTATTGTAAGAAGCATATTAATAGGAGCGCTTTCAATCACTCAATCATATTCTTATGCACTTGATGGGATTTCCTCCTGAAAATGTGTGGGTAAGAAATGAAATGTCACTAAAGATTGTACTGGAAGACATCATTGCAGGCAACTATGACCAGATGCTTTAAATCAGCCGTCGTTAGATGTTATGCAATCCGTTTGTTTATTTATTTAGATGTTCATATGTTTTATTGTAAGAGAATACTTTGACTTAATTTAAATTAGATTAGTTTGATTTAATGCAAGAGAATAGTTTCAATGGTCATTTTATGCAGGATTACTAAATGCTGTCTTTCACATGTCATGCATCATTAAAAAATGTTAATAGACCATTTTGAGGGATGTAAACAAAAACAATGGCCCCAACACATTTCCTGTTTTATATTTGTAATTTCTATAGCTTTTGAGAATCCAAAAATGAGCCACATATTGATAAATGATGTTATAATAGCTGTTTTAACATTAAGTTATGATTGAATCGCCTCTGTTGTTACAGTTATGAAATTGTTATGTTGAATTGTACAGTTATGAAATAGTTTGATAACAAGCAAGAAATGTTCATGGGCTAACGAGATACCAATTTGAAATAATCTATATGAGCTTTCAAAATACAATAAGGAATCAACACAAGCTAAATTTGAGTATTACATGGCTCCAAAAACATATCATATACCAGTTTTGACAGGCAACTCTGTTTTTGCATGTAGACTTCATGAAGTAAAATATATTCACAATTATCATGTGTTGGAAAAAGTGTATATAACTCAATTTTCACATTCAGAATTTAGAGTATTTTATATGTTGTCAAATTACTAAGTTCCATCTTGAATTTAATTAGACATCTAAATGATTAAATATTGAACAAAGATGGATTTTCCAGGTTAAAACAGAAGAGTCATTTGGACTCCGTGAAATTATGGTGTTGTTGTAGTAACAACCATCTACTACTCCACCCATGTAAGTGGTATATAACAATTACTCAGTTATTGGTTAAATGATTCATTAACCATTACTCTGCTTTTTCAAACTATTATGAGTAAGGGTGCACTCAAACTAGGCTATCTGAACAGTGCCTGGAGGCGTTTTCCGGTTCGTTTGGCAAGTGTTAGTGCTCCAAATTGAGTGCTTCAGTTGGGCAGCCCTGGCACAGTTAGAAGAGGTGTGGCAGAGCACGGTTCAGTTGAGCTCTGTAGTGTGAGTGTAAAGCATGCCTGAAGACTCAGGGCTCTATTTTGACGGTCCATGCGCAGGGCGCAAAGCGCTGGGCGCAAACGCTTTCAGGGCGTGTCAGAATGCGTTTTTGCTAATTTAAGGACGGGAAAATCCGCTTTGCGCCATGGCGCATGGTCTAAAAGGGTTGAGTTTATTTTCTTATAGGTGTGTTTTGAGAATAAACCAATTAGAGCCTCATCTCCCATTACCTTTAAGAGCCAGCTGCGTCGCGCCAAAAGCGCATTTCGACGTAAAGTAAGTTCACTTTCGCTTTTGCTCTCTTGGATAGGGAAACCTTTACGCACAGACATCAATTAGCCTATAAATAATTAATTTCGTTTGTTAAGCGCAAAGATTTGTTTCAAAACTATTACTAAATTCAGTTCTAATTTCTGGCAAACGAATAAATGATTAATAATAACAAAGTGTGGTCAAAATACTTTAGTTATTATTAAAATACTAGTATAAATATAGTATTAATAATACTATTAGTTATTTCCAAATACACCTGCCATGCCCCATATGGTTTAAAATTTGACAGGTGGACAAATCTAAGCTTGATTTTAATAAAACAAATATAAATATGGATATAATAAATACTACTGCTAATAATAATAACATTATACAAAAGCAAATTAAATGAACTGAAAAAGCATCCCGAGATGAAGAAAGTAAGGCAGTGGTCTTTAAATCTTCATGTAGGCTAGAAATTAATATGTTTTGTAATATTTTAATATTTTAATTATTTTAATCATTTATATTATATCCTGTATATATCCTTATATATATATATATATATATATATATATATATATATATATATGTAAAGATCTTTGCGTATTGCTCTACATCTTGTGTGTAGTGTGTAAGCCAGGCAATAGACCGACTTTGTTCTGGTCTAAAGAACAGACTATTTACAGTTTCTCAAAATAGCAACGCGCCAAAACACGCCTGCTTTTTTTAGACCAGAACGCCTATGGGCGCACATTTGAGCGCAAATGCATTTGCTATTTAAACAGTGTGGCGCAACACCTCAAAATGACCCTTGCCACATTGCGCCAGGTGTATGATAGGGCCCTCAATGTCACTTTTATGGGACTGTTTTATATATTTATTAATCATTCTTAATTTTTAATGAACCCAAACTGTCATAGTTTATTAAAGACACAAACCCCTCACTGCATGTCAGCTGATGCCTTCAGGAAACCTCCTAATACTTGCAGCACAAGGACTTTTATGGTTATTTTTAAGTGTGTTAATCTGTTCAGCAGAAGATTTTACTGTGTCACTGCATCCAAAATGAATATATTATAAAATCATACAAAACAATACAACTAAAGCAAGCTTCAATGTGTTGAGCGAGAGGGCTTCTCTTCCTCTTAAACTGTACAGTCACATCATCGATGGACGAAGCATGCTCCAGCTCTGAAGGTAAAAATGCAGTATGCATACGGGCTGAGGGAGAGAGGGGAAGGGGCACAAGGGGGACAAGTGTGCTTTGACTCGGTTAAACACAACAGTGGCGAGTGTAAGTCTCAATTTAGCAACTTTAGATAATTTGTATAACCAAATTTGTATGTGAACTAATTTGTATGGATTGGCCTAATGTAACTGCATTGGGTGAGTCTTTGGAAAAGGTTTATGTTGTTGGTGTTTTTAATTTTTTTATCCTGATTAGGTTAACTAAATCAACACACCTTTGAGGCACTTGTCACTTTGCACAGGACTTTGTTTATATAGTGCTTGAAGTGAGTCGCCAATTTAAATCTTTAAACTGATTGATTTGATTGATTGATTTAATTGTTTGATTGTTTGATTGATTGATTGATTGATTGATTGGTCAATTGATTCTGAAACATTCAATTATTCTGCCTTCAAATACACATTAAAATTGCAATTATCATAGTGAACAAACCAACAACTTTAATCACAATGAACTTCTCATTCACACCAAGGATGGTCTAGCGCAGGGGTGTCCAAATTTGGTCCTGGAGGGCCGGTGTCCTGCAGATTTTAGCTCCAACTTGCATCAACACACCTGCAAGCATGTTTCTAGAAAGCCTAGTAAGAGCTTGATTAGCTAGCGCAGGTGTGTCTGATTGGTGTTGGAACTAAACCTTGCAGGACACCGGCCCTCCAGGACCGAGTTTGGACATGCCTGGTCTTGCAGGTTGATTGGTGAATCACAGTTGAGTATTGAATCCCTGTGTAGTAGGCAGCTTTTATGGATTACCCAGAACACTGGTAGCAGTAGCTCTCATCCTCTGTCTGAGGAGTGTAACCTACTCAGGTCAAAGGTTTCAGATGCTTTTTAGATGAACAAAATGTTACAGGAATAGCTTTGTTCCGTCATATATTTCCTGCTCTGAATAGATTGTAGTATTTTATAAAGTCAAATTTGTTGTCCATGTCCATGGCTAATAATAACAGCACTGAAGAACAATAATGTTGAAATCGCTTTTAAAATGTGACTGATAATCAATAAATACATTGGGATCTAATCAGAATCCAAATAGCTGTACAAAGCATACAAAGCAACCGATGACAAAATTGCAGCTTGCTATCCAAACAAACAGAAACACCGCGCACAGCACTGGTTGCTAATATCATTATCAACTCCTAAAATTCCATTCCTTTCCTGTTACCTAAAGGGATAGGATAATTCCTCCCATTCATCTGGAGGGATAAGCATGTGAGCTGGTCACTGTCACCCAGACAGCAGTTACATAATAGTTCCATCCGAAACATTCAAAACTCTTATTATTTCCCTTCTGTCATCCCAGCAGCTCATGTCCTGCTAACACCTACCAGTTCAAAGTGTGAGGAATTGCTCTACTTATTTAAATCGTCTCGCCCCACGCCGGGTGTTTGTCTTCTTATTATCACATGGAGTAGGTACATTCTCCAGATGCCGCTTCACTGCCATAATGGAGGCCCAAGGAAAACGCAGGCATATGGGAGACACTGATTTATGTGTACAAGTGGCAGCTATTAGACACCAAGGGTGAAAAATTCAAAGCAGACACCTGCTCTGTCATTTCTGCCACACAAGCAGCTCAAAGCTCATTGATGATAAGAAAGAACTTGCATTTAAAGGGGACCTTTAACCTATTATTATGTAAGTCTTTACAAGATGTAAAATGCATCTCTGATGTCCCTAGCGTAAGTATGTGAAAATACCTTACAAATATTTTTTTAACTCTGAAACTGCCCCTTTTAGGCTTTGAGTTGTGGCATTTTGGTGACTGTTGCTTTAAATTCAAATGAGACTGTGCTCTTTACAAAAGAGGGCGGAGCTAAAAATGCCTGTGTATGAGCATAATGGACAATTCAAAAACAAATCTAACCTCTAATGCTAATGAGGGAGAAATCATCACTAGTGGGCGGGGCTTCCCCCCTCTGATGTCATGTACAAAGGGAGAATGTGAAATAATGAGTTCCTGTAGACTTTTATGAAGTATGATTATACAAAAAATAAAATGTATAAATGTTTACCATTAGAAGCTGGTTATATTCACGGACTGATGCCATTGTGTTTAAACCCCTTATAAAAGAGATTTTTGCATAATAGGTCCCCTTTAAGACT